AATCATCCTTGCCTTCAGTCACACCTTTGTTCAGGAGAACTGGGACACGAGGAATGCAGCACCCGGCAGCAGCACCTCATCCCTGAGCACGCCACGTCTCACACAGATCCCACCTGCGCCACGTGCCGCTTCCCAGAGCGCTTCCATCCACGGCAGGACGGTGCCCAGGGAATACAGCAGCAGGAAAATCCCACCTGGGCTGCACCACCCTCCTCTGGGAAGGGCAAGGAGAGACACAAGGCACACGGATCCCAACGCTCCTGTCACATGTGACAGCAACCCCCCCCCCAAATTCCTGGGCTGCCCCAAAGGCACTGGGAGTTTTAAAGGGCACACAAACCAAACGATTCCAAGCAGCCCTCGACAAGACCCAACCACGTACCCACCTATGATCTCAGGCAGAGCTTTTATAAAAAGGTGATAAAAGCAGCATTCCCGGCCGTGCCACGTGGGAAAAAAGCGCAGCGCTCCGGCCCTGAGCACTCCGTGCTCCCGGGGAGCTGACACACATCCCTCCCAGGGAATAGGTGTTTATTTAGCTGCACACTCAGCTGGACTCCCCAGGGGGACTGCCCGGTGCCACTGGACTCACAGGCTGTTACACGGCTCATTCCCACATTTTTTTAATTCAAGGAAACGTTCGTGTCTTTCCCCATCCCCAAGAGCCCTCGGCACTGCCAAAAAGCACCACTCAGAAACCAGGCAAAAATCCTCGTGTTATTTTTGACCCACGTGGGGTTAATAACCCCCCCACACACCCTGTATGCAGCATGTATACAATGTATTCCATGCACACAGGTACCTGGCTGATGAAAGGGAAAACAGGCTGTTTTTTCCTCATTTTCAGCTGCTCTCCTGCAGAAGCAGAGCAGACCTGCTGTCCCCACCGAGGGGCTTCCACCGTGATTTAACTCAAACTACAACTGTATAAGGATAATACTGAGACATCAGAGATTTTACAAAGAGGTTCAGGTTCGGTTCCCTCAGCTGACTGCACTTCTTACACCCCACCAGCTCTCCATCCCCTGATGTTACAAGAATTTCACCCACATGGCAAGAGAAAAAATAACATGGAACAGACCAGTTAAGCTCCAATGGCACAAATACTGTGGCCAAACGCATTAGTTTTAAATCAGATTTATGTTTATTTTTCTTAATGGCATCCTTGGGTTTCTCTCTTTAAGAACACCAGTCCCTCATTTTACTTCATGGCAAGATGAAGTTTTCCAGTGCCCTGTTCTTCTAACGGAAGGGTTTTTTTTATTCTCACACAATATCACTGTGACTCTACTTTTTTCTACTTTATTTATAATAAAGTTTCATGTTAAATAGCAAATCTGGGCAGGAACTGGACAAAGGCCTATGGCATTGTCCCATACAACCACATTTCCTTCTGTCTTTTAAGAAATAAACCCAGTAGTATTACATTTAAGTGTGTTTTCCCTATTTAAAGAATATCAGGTGCCAGTACCAGTGCAAAAGAGGGTTAAATCGTGATGGTCTTGTTGGAGATAATTCATGCACTCAGAGCCAACGATCTGGCCATGAATTTTAATATTTTTTGCCATTAAAATCCATGTCTCTGGTGTGAATGGAAGAGGAGCTGCCATGCTGGACAGAGAGTATTGCTGAAGGACCCAAAGCCTCCAGTTCTTGTGCTGAAACACAGAGCACAGATCCTGAGCATCCTCCACAAAACACCCCTTTTTTCCCCCCTCCCTTTAAACACAGTTTGCATCCAGAAGCTGCAACGTTTTCCAGCCTTTGCAATCGGGAGAAATAGGTGAAGACAGCCCAAATGTGCAGCTGCCAATATAACCTGCAGCTCCCCTCTGAGCTGCTGGAAACAGGAATGTAAATACACAGTGAGGGGAAGCAGGAGAGCAAAGCAGAGGCCTTTGGATGAGGGACATCCCCTGGGACCACCATGTGTCCCTCGCTGTCACACACCAGCCACCCCGGCCCCTGCCAGCCCACAGCTTGTGTCTGGAGCTATTTTAGGTTTATGACTTCTTTGGGGTGTTTATTTTTTTGGTTTTTGTTTTGGTTTTGTTTTGTTTTTTTTTAATTTCCCAGTTATCTGAACCGCTGCTTGTTTACTATTAATAACATGAGAGTTGTGACTTAATTGGTTCAGCTGGTCGGGCACGACGCCGGGCTGGTTCTGTCCCTGCTTCCATGGGGTGTATGGACATGGTTAACTGAGATCCCAGAATCATTTAGGTTGGAAAAGACATTCCAAGACCAAATCCAACCTGTGACCCACCCCCACCTTGTCACCCAGCCCAGAGCACTGAGTGCCACATCCAGTCGTTCCAGGAATGGGGACTCCACCACCTCCCTGGGCAGCCCCTCCCACTGCCTGACAACCCTTTTCGTGACGAAATTCCTTCTCATGTCCAAATGGGGACAACCAACTGGGAGGTGGGGCAAAAAAAAGCCCCACACAGCTCCTTCTGGATGTGACATCTGCACATCTGGGCACACCTTCCTGTTTTTGCAGTGCCAGGTATCGTCATTCCCTCGTTTCCCTGCGATCCGAAGGCGATGCCAAGCAGCAAACGTGCCTTTGCCTCCCATTCCTAATTATTTTTCAATTGTTTACTTTGGACAGCTTTGCTGCTAAGGGCTTATTTTCAGTGCTGCAGCAGCATTAGGAAAGCATTTGCTGAAGAGTGGATTTCCCCCAAATCCCGGCCAGGTGCTCCCTAAATCGGATCTCCCCAGGCTGGACCAGCACACATGTCCCATGGAGCCCCAGACTGACACACCGTCACAGCACACAAAATTAACCTGCAAAAACCTCAAACACAACAAGTTCCACCTCAACAGGATGAAGAGCTTTCCATGGAGGGAGGCAAAGCACTGGAACAGCTCCCAGGGAGGTTGTGGAATCTCCCCCTCTGGAGACATCCCAAACCCACCTGGACGCGTTCCTGTGTCTCCTGCTCTAGGTGGGGACGATCTCCAGAGGTCCCTTCCAACCCTAACAAGTCCTGTGGTTCTGTGACATTGGTTAAAAAGGCAAATAAATGCTAAGGCTGCTAGAGAGGAGACAGAAAGGTGATGGACATGACTGGCAGGAAGGACAGAGCACTGACATTAAACTGAACTATCGAGTTGGATGAGAAACCCCAGCGACCTCCAAAATAACATTTCTGCTATAAGACCCAAAGCTGTGACTGTTTTCCCCCCAAACCCCGCATTTCTAAGTGGCATTTTATTGTCCTGTGCAACTGTCACCATCAACACCCAGCAAACAGAGCATCTGGAAAGGATCCACCATTCCCAAAGTTCAGGGAATTATTTTCCCTCGCAGGTTTGCTGTTTCCCAGCTGGTTTTACACCTATCAGCGATGCTACACTTCCCTGCTCTGCTCCAGAAGAGCAGCTGGAAAGCTCTGTTGGAAATGCTGCACTGAATTCACGAGGAAAACAAACAGAAATCAATGTTTAAATCCAAAATGTCCCGGTAAACCAGACTAACACACTGTTTCCCATCGCCAGCAAATATTTAGACAGTTCCAGCTGAAGCTGGGGAAGGATTCAGGTAGCCAGGACATGCCAAACGTGAAGGATGGCTCGGGATGAATATGTGAGCAGGATATCTCTGCTAAAGCGATCAGCAGCGTGCTGGTATTTAAATCACATTAAGATTTCAAAAGCATCAGTCTATCACGCAGCTCGTGGCACTCCTTCCCGCAACCACGAGGATTGGAAGCCTTCAAACCAGCCCCCTGGCCCCCCCCCCCCGGAACACCAGAGATCCCCTCGGCGGCGTGGAGCAAGCGCTCACTAATTGTGGCAAACTGATGGGCAGATCAATTAAGCAGGCGAGCGAAAGCCCGGCAGAGCCTCTCGCTTTGAGCCTCGCCTGCTCCTCACAATGATGACTTCAGATGGAGCACGAGGGGCAGCTGGATCCCTTAAAACAAAACGCAGCCACAACCTCCCTCAGATAAGCATTTCGTGGAAAGAGAGAGGGGAGGGGGAGAGGCGAACAGAACAGATCCCGAGCGCTCGTATTTTTTAAGTTTCCGCGGCTGCTCCCGGGGAGCAGAGGGGTCCCCGCGGCTCCCCGTGCCGGGTGTGGGGGTCCCTGCGCCGGGGCTGGCTCCGAGCAGAGCCCGGGGAGCACTTGCTCGTCTTCCCGAGCTCTGCCCAGTCACATGTGCTGGCTCCTGCGCCTCGTAGAAGCAGCTGGAAAAGAGGGAGCCAACGGAGCTGCCTCCATTAGGAGCCACCGCTACACAAAAGGAGAAGAGGAAACAAGCCCTCGGCCACCGGGGCTGCCGGCAGGAAAGGAGAGGTGTCCAGGGCCACGGGGAGCGCACGGCAAGTGGGGAAAACCGCGATGGAAACGAAAAACCCGCTCCGCTGAGCCCCGGAGAGGCTCGGTGGCACCTGCCCGACAGGGACACGGGGCTCACGCGGCATCACCTCGGGGAAAACACCGGGAACTCGACGGACTCACCCGCTCCACCACCAGCCACCCGCCCGAGGGGCTCACGGCCCCGCCCGGCCGCCGGGACCCCCAAAACCCCGACCCCCGCCGGGCCGTCCTGTGCCAACTCCCGGCCGGGCAGCGCCGGCTCTGCCCCGACACCGGCGGCGCCGCGGGCAGCGGCGGCTCTCCCGGGGATCGGCCCCGCACCGGCGATGCCGGAGCGAGCAGCCCCCGGGGCCACGAGCCCCGCAAGTGCCGGTGTGTGACCCCCCCCCCGCCGCCTTTGTGCTCCCCGAGCGGCCGGGGCGGGGGGCCCGGGGGTCTCGGCGGGGCCGCTCCGGCCTCGCACCGGCGGGACCGCGCGAGATAACGGCGGCCCGGCCCGAGACCGCGGTGCCCTCCCGGCGCTCCCTCCCCGCCGCCGCCAGGGAAGTTCCCGGTGGCCCCGCGCCCCCCCAAGCCCAAACCCCGGGGCGGCGGCGGCGGCACCTGCTCCCGGCCCGGCGGAGTTCCCGGGGGCGGAGGGACGACGCGGCGCCGCGTGGGGACTCACCGGGAAGCTGCCGCAGGCCCCGGGGGGAGAAATCCAGCGGCGGGAGCGCCGCGAGTCCCGGGCTCCGCGCCGCTGCTGCGTCAGCGCCGCCGCCTCCTCGGCTGCGGGATGGGGACGAGGCGCCGCCGCCGCCCGCCCCTGGCCGCGGGGCGTCGCGGAGCGGGCGGGCGGAGGCCGGAGCGGGCGGCGGAGGGGCCGGGAGGGGCAGAGGAGGGGGCGGAGGAGGGGGCGGAGGAGGGACCGGGGGCGCCGCCGCCGCCGCCGCCGCGAACTCCCCGCAAGCCGCGAGCGCCTCCGGCCTCCTTCCTGCTTCCTCGTCCGCAGCCAATCGCCGCGCGCCGCCCGCCGCTCGCCCCGCCAAGCCGCCCAATCAGCGCCGCCGCCCCGCGCCGCCGCCGCCCAATCAGCGCCGCGCCCGCCCCCGCCCC